GTTCCACACTGGGCATGCATACTCAGCAGCAGAGTAGCATAGCTCAAGGGCAGATGTCTTCATTGTGTCTGGTTGTGATCCCCTGAGAAAGTGTGATTTGCCCAAGGTTGCACCATGGTTTTCCATGGCTGAGTGGCGAATTCAGTTCTTCCCCTAGTCCAGCACTCAAACCACTACACCATACTAGCTTTTCCTAGGTCAGCAGTGCTGAGAAAGCTAATGTTTTCATGCAGTTTGTAATCCTATTTGTCATGCTATTTGGCACTTTGCAGCTCATGGTTCATAGAGATCTTTACACAGGAAGGCCTTAAACCTTTTTATCCTCTTCCTGAGATGACAAAGATGAACTTGTTTATAGTTCTTCCTGTTGCTTCAATTTACTGAGGTTGAGTCAGCTGTGCATATGCTGCCATTTATTGCAGTGACTTTGTGAGCCTTGAGGGCACATGAGAACACCTCTTTCATTTCGCTCTTCCCTCTTCGGGAAGAAAAAGCAACAATATCATCGTTGTTTATGTGTCTGTGTGTGTACATATACATCAATATGTTTTCTGTGTTACTTCCAAAGAATTCATGATGGAATACAGTTGTTTCCCTTCTCTGTTTCACCCTCACAGCAATCCTGTGAGGTAGGGTAGTGATTCCCAGTGCTTCATGGCTGATTTTTAAATCTTCTTTCCCCAGTATCCCATCAGCAAACACATTGTTTCCCTCAAGCTTTTCTGTGTACAGTAGGCTTGCACATTTTGGCTGAACCTTGAGCCATTCCTGCTATCCGGATTCCAGTCCGGGGGGTGGGAGGTCGGTTCCATTTTTGCTTGCCTCCTGAAATCAGGTGGGTTGCTGGAATGGGCGTTTTTTGCCCGTAGCCAGAAAATGCAGTTAGATCTGGCCCATTGGTGGCAGTGGGGGAAGGGGCTTCACGGGCTACCCTCTCTGTCATTTGCAGGGCTATTGGGATGACAATGGCCATACATGAAGTGCACATCTACCACTGCTGGCTCACCAAGTTTCATAACATTTGGATCATGCCCTGATTTTTAAGATATTTTTTTTCTAGAAATAAAATCTCCTTTAAAAATTCTCAAAAATGTATCCCCAGCTGGCCCTGCCCTGTAACTTCTTCAGGAGCAGCAGGGCAACATTCCTTCCTGCCAAATGTCAATGATGCACTTCCACATCACACAGCCTACCCATTATTGCACTTTCTTTACTAATCAAAAAACCCAACAGCAACTTCTTCCAAAGCTTTTGCAATTTGCATTCCTTGTTCTTAAAAGCATACTGGAAGAGGTCAACAGCCCACCACTCGCAAGCAAGCAAGCAAGCAAGCAAGTGGCATGTCCCTTTATTGAGCCAGAAATTGATAGGTATTGGTGATAAGTTTAGGTAGGTAGGTAGGTAGGTAGTTTTTCTGAGAATGACGCTTTGCTGTTTGCTGGAATTCCTATAATAATTAATAACAGTAATCTTTTAAAAGTATTACTTTGATGAAAGAGAAGAGGGAGGGGTGATAAAAGAAGAAGCTAAAAGCTATAGTAGAGACTAAAGAGTGACTCAAAGCTCAGAGCCATCCTAAAGGAAAAAAACACACCCACCCACAAGTCCCCAAACGCCGCTCACCCCCCCATCCGCACTTTCCAACTCCCAGTCCCACTAAATAAGGAATCAAGAAAAGAAAAGAAAAAGGAGTAATCAAAAAGATGGCAGGGAGTTGGACTGGATGGCCCATGAGGTCTCTTCCAACTCTATGATTCTATGATTCTAATGCTAGAATCCAATCTATGTCAAAAGCTGAGAGCGAGCAGCAAGGTAGTACCTCTCTCTAGAGTCAGGATGCAACTGAGAAATGGAGACACCCGTCTCATTAAATAGACACTGCATGCATAAGACATGTCATGGCTTTCTTCTATCCTGATTGGCCCTACAGGCAGGGCTTACAGGGAATCCCTGTGTGAGCATGTGGCAGCCCCTCTGCACGCTCCGTGCTCCTGAATAGATCAGAAGTAGCCAAACAGCCAAAACGAATCTGTGCACAAGTCTAGTGTACAGTGACCTGGCTTCTGCTTCCCCTGCAAGCTTGGGGATGAAATAGCAGAGGAATCCCTTCACTGATGCCACAAGGCCTTCCTTTGAAACTGGTTTCCCCAGTAGACCTTTCCACCTTTGTTAGTTTGGCATACTCTGCTATTCTTTCTCCTTGTCATGGGCATGCAACTGACCAAATGAGCCGAAAACCTCAGCTGTACTAATAAGCACATCTAGACGCAGATGTGCGTGTTAATCTTACCAGCTGTGCAACATCTGCTCTGAGCTTTGTTTACACCAACTGTTACTTCTGTTTAACAAATGGTCTCTGAATAATAAAGCAATCAGGAGGAGGAGGAGGAAGGCCTCAGTGCTTGCACTGTTTGCTCATGAGGATAGTCATAGAGGTATGGTACGTGCAGGGTACCCTTTCTACTGTAGATTTAGAACCAGTGTAGGAATTAATTAGAATGCTGTTCCATATTGAAGGGAGATGTTGACAAGCAGGAATGTGTCCAGAGGAGGGCAACTGAAATGATCAAAGGTCTGGAGAACAAGCCCTATGAGGAGCAGTTTAAAGAGCTGGACATGTTTAGCCTGAAGAAGAGAAGGCTGAGAGGAGACATGATAGCCATGTATAAGTATGTGAGAGGAAGTCGTAGGGAGGAGGGAGCAAGCTTGTTTTCTGCTGCCCTGGATACTAGGACGTGGAACAGTGGTTTCAAACTGCAAGAAAGGAGATTCCACCTGAACATGAGAAAGAACTTCCTGACTGTGAGAGCTGTTTGGCAGTGGAACTCTCTGCCCTAGAGTGTAGTGGAGGCTCCTTCTTTGGAGGCTTTTAAGCAGAGGCTGGATGGCCATCTGTCAGAGGTGCTTTGAATGCAATTTTCCTGCTTCTTGGCAGAATGGGTTTGGACTGGAAGGCCCATGAGGTCTCTTCCAACTCTATGATTCTATGAATCAGACCATTTCCCTTTGTAGTCGTATATTAAAACAGTGGCATCAGCAGGTCTCTGGGCTTTTAGATAGGCCATTCCCTACCTTAGCTGGTGGTAACAAGAGTTGAATTTGAGACATGCAGCATGCAAAGCACGTGCTTTTCTACTCAACTGCAGCCACCACAATTTGCCAAGAAATGCTATGTGAATATTTCTTGCATTTCTTCATAATTGGGACAGGGTTAGGTTTCAATACTACTGTTCTTCAAACAGGCGCTTTGAATGTGATTTTCCTGCCTCTTGGCAGGGGGTTGGACTGGTCTCTTCCAGCTCTATGATTCTAGAGAGGCTCTGCAACTGATTCAAAAGTGAATTGCCATTCCTGGGTCCTTCTTGGGCTCCTTCTACACTGTCATATAATCCAGATTATCAAAGAAGAAAATCCACATTTTCTGCTTTGAATTGGATTATATCTGTCTACCTTGCCATATAATCCAGTTCAAAACAGATAATCTGGATTTTATATGGCAGTGTAGAAGGGCTCTAAGCAAAGCAATAGACCCATTCACATTACACAGTTATAGTGCTATTATTCCACTTAAACTGCCATAGTGCTGTCCTGTGGAACCTAGTGCTGTCCTATGGGGAGACCATCAAGAGTTTTTGCTAAGAACTCCAAGTACCCTGGCTCAACTGAAAACCCCAGGATTTCATAGAACAGAGCCATAGTGGAATCATAGTTCCATAATTGTACACAGGCCCAGTATATTCCTTTTTTGGGCAGAAACAGGGTGCTCCAGAGAGAACTGGGATCTGTTTACCACCTTCAAGAAAATCTTCAATCATCCCAGCTCTAGAACACTGCTTCTTAAGACTTTTATGTTGGATCTACACTGCCACATAATCCAGATTTTCAAAGCAGATTATCCATATTATCTGTTTTGAACTGGATTATATGAGTCTGCACTGCCATATAATCCAATTCAAAGCAGATAATATGAATTTTATTTGGCAGTGTAGATGAGGACTCAATTTAAGATCAATTTTGGGGTCATGAAACGTCTGGTAATAGTTAAAGGTTTCTGAAAACCACTTATATATTTACACGGATCTGTTAGCATTAAAATGCTTCAGCTGCCCTTCAAGGAAAGTCAGCTGTTTAGCATGCTTTGCCAATGTTGAATTATTATCAGTAAGTGTTTGTTTTTTATATCTATTTTATATACTGGTATATCTGGGGTTGCGTAAAAAATCCTTGTCTAGAAAGGGGTTATGAACAAATTTCTTAGGCGTAAAGGGGTCGCGAATGGATAAAGCTTAAGAAGCCCTGCTCTAGAACATGATGCTTCTTTGGCAAAGAAAGTAAGAGCAGAAAGAGGCTGACCTAGCATAGCAATAAGAACACTGGAATCGGAGAGTATAGGGCTGGAAGGCTTTGTCAACCAAGAACACCTACTTTGCAGAACAGCCACTTGTAAAGTGAAGTTCTCTATATGTACGAGAAAGTTCCTGTGAGTGACCCTGACAAGCTGTGTTTGAAGAGCCTCATAATGGGTGTCTTAGGACACTAAGATCATCTGGGGAGGCCCTGCTCTCGGTCCCGCCTGCATCACAGGCGCGCTTGGCGGGGATGAGAGACAGGGCCTTCTCAGTGGTGGCCCCTCGGCTGTGGAACGCCCTGCCTGCAGATATCAGATTGGACCCCTCCCTGCTGCCGTTTCGGAGGAAAGTGAAGACCTTGCTGTTTGAACAAGCATTTGATTAAACAGTGTAATTGAACATAGGAATACGGAATAATGGATGACGAGACTGGATTCTGATTTTACTGTGATAATTGTTTTTAATTGCCCTATACTTGTTTTGTGATATTTTGTACTGATGTTGTTCACCGCTTTGAGTCGCCTGAGGGCTGAGTAAAGCGGTATAGAAATAAAGTAAGTAAATAAATAAATAAATCCTGTCTGACATAGATGCATAGATGTATTGGCTGTTCCTATCTCATAAATTGTTGTTGGTCTTTCTCTCTTGTAGGATTGTCCGCAGATCCTTCCATCTACCCAGATCTACATCCCTGTGGGTGTGGTGAAGCCCATCACCTTGACAGCCAAAAACCTGCCACAGCCCCAGTCAGGACAGCGCAACTACGAGTGCATCTTCCATATCCCTGGAAGCCCCACACGTGTCACTGCCTTGCGCTTTAACAGCACCAGCATCCAGTGCCAGAACACTTCGGTGAGTCCACTGTGCAAAACTTGCTTCCAAAATTGTCATTTTTGGTTAACAGCTGAAACTCCCTTGTAACCTCTGATACGTGCGTGGGCCCAGATGTGCAGGCTTGCTGTTTTCCCAGCACAGGAGACTACTATTTTGGATTGGCCCCTCCGGTGAAAGGAGACTCATTCCATTGGATTGTTTCCTTCTTCCTTTGTGCTTTATTAAAGTGGCATAATCTTCCATGTGCATGGTGTTCATGCAGCTTTGGGAGGAGTCCTGATCTGCATACTGCAGTTGTGCTTAGACATTTTCCTTTTTTACTGTTTCTCTTTCCATTCAGCTGAGTGAACGTGTTTTGTGTAGAATCAACATCCCCTCCTTACTTCGCTGCTCTGCCAAAGCTATCCAAGGGGCCTCTGTTGTGTTTAATGAGCATTTCCAATGAAATTTGCTTATGAAAGGTGGAGAAACCTGCCTTGTCTTAAGCCAGCTTTGCTGGGTTCCCAAAGGAACTCTCTCATCCTAGTCTACTCTGCCTGTACTCAGATCAATCCAACTTTGCAAATAAAATTTAGTTCATTCTTATTTTTTATCAAGCCTTATCCCCCAGGAGAACATTTCTATCATTGCAACTTTCCAACTTTTATGCATTTGTTAGTTTTGCTCAGTGGGAGCCATGTGATGTGTTAGTCTCACACAGAAAGTGTGGTGAGTGCGCTAAACTCGTGACTTCTAGGACTTGGTTGATTGAAGAGAATACTCTTTCCAAACAGCCCCGTCACTTAGGATTTGTTCCCTCGACAAGTTAGTCTCCAGTAGTCTGTCTAATGATAACATAATGCTGTTTTTTATGTTTTTTAACTCTGTCTCTGTTGTCTCACCTTGTGCTCCAAGCCACTATTGCAATTTTCAAGCAAAGCTGTGCTTCTAAAAGTCTCCGTGGGCACATCTACACTGTAGAATTAATGCAGTTTGAGACCATTCTAACTGCTGTGACTCAATGCTGTACAGTTGGAAGTTGTAGTTCAGTAAGACACTAGCATTCTTTGGCAAAGAAGGCTAAACCCATGTAAAACTACAACTCCCACTTTGCTATAAGCAGGGACCATGGCAGTTACAATGGTATCAAACTACATTAATTCTATGTTGTAGATGCACCCCTATTCCTGCTAGAGCAGTGGATCTCAACCTTTCTAATGAAGTGACCCTTTAATATAATTCCTCATGTTGTGGTGACCCCCAACCATAACATTATTTTCATAACTGTAATTTTGCTACTGTTGTGAATTGTAATGTAAATATCCGATATGCAGGATGTATTTTCATTCACTAGACCAAATTTGGCACAAATACCTGATAAACCCAAATTTGAATACTGGTAGGGTTGGGGTAATGGGTGGAGATTGATTTTGTCATTTGGGAGTTGTTGTTGCTGGGATTTATGGTTCACCTACAATCAAAGAGCATTCTGAAATCCACCAACGATGGAATTGAACCAAACTTGGTACACAGAACTCCCATGACCAACAGAAAATACTGGAAGGGTTTGGTGGGCATTGAGCTTGAGTTTTGAAGTTGTAGTTCACCTACATCCAGACAGCACTGTGAACTCAAACAATGATGGATCTGTACCAAATGTGGCACAAATACTCAAGATGCCTTAATGTGGTGGAGTTTGGAGAAAATAGACCTTGACATTTGGGAGTTGTAGTTGCTGGGATTTATGGTTCACCTACAATCAAAGAGCATTCCGAACCCCACCAACGATAGAATTGGGCCAAACTTCCCATACAGAATCCCCATGACCAACAGAAAATACTGTGTTTTCTGATGGTTTTGGTGACCCCTCTGTAACCCCCTCGCGATCCCCCTCCCCCAGGGTCTTGACCCCCAGGTTGAGAAATGCTGTGCTAGAGGCAAGTTGGTTTGCCACCGCAGCACTGTGCAGTTTGGCTGCGTAGCAACAATTGTGATGGCTACAAAACAGACACAAAATGTATATGGCCTTCGTTTTGCCCAGTCCCACATTATGGCATCTCTAGACATACTTTCCCCATTAGTTGCACATTTATTTTATGATAACCCCTGTTGAGAGAAAGGGGATATTCATTACAGCAGATCAGTGATCTCATGTGACACATTCAGGAAGTTCTCCATGCCCCACTCTAGAGGGTGAAACACCTGCAAGGATAGCTGAACTGAGAGACTGACAGGTCTAAAGTCTTAATGCTCCTTTCATCTACAGAGGCATGCCATTCCTGGGCTGACCTGCTGGGCCGTCTTCCAACCTCTGCTCATATGACAGAGAGCAGCCCCCTCCTTTTTTCCAGCACTGGATTTAATCCCTTAAAACATTTCTTTCACTTGCTGTGTGAAAGCTCATTTGCAACCTGGTGTGAGCCTTGCCTCCTGCTCTCCAGCCCTTCAGCCACATGAGTGACATTGCAAGGTTACCAAAGAGCTTAAAATGGTATTTTCCCATGTTGCTGCCAGGTTCTTTTTGGCACTAACTGAAGTGGAGAGAATTTGAACTGCCCCATTTACTTTTCTTACCCTGGCAGCAACTTTTTTGCACGTACAGGGGGAAAGAGTACTCTTGACTGGAACATTTTTTATCTGAGAGTTGTGTATATTGTTTGAATAAATCGTTTGAATAAACAAGTGATTTTTTGTCATTCAAACACAAACTGCAAACCTCAGAATTGATATTTTCAAAGTTACAAAAATGATAGTCTGATTAGTTGGTAGAATTTTTTTTCGTGTCAGGAGCGACTTGAAAAACTGCAAGTTGCTTCTGGTGTGAGAGAATTGGCTGTTTGCAAGGACGTTGCTCAGGGGACGCGCAGATGTTTTACCATCCTATGGGAGGCTTCTTTCATGTAACCGCATGAAACGCTGGAGCTGACAGATGGGAGCTCACCCTAATTTGAACTGTCGACCTTTTGGTCAGCAGTCCTGCCAGTGCAAAGGTTCAACCCATTGTGCCACCGGGGTCTCCACTTATGTCAATGGAACAAAATGCGTGGTAACTTAACAAGTGTCTCCTTCCTATTGACCATCTTACTTTAAGACATTGAATAAATATAATTTTTGCTGACTTTCAAAACCCATCTTGAGGATGGCATGGAGCCATCTCATACTTAGTTCCACAATACCTCCTGATCTATATCATTTCATACTTAGTTCCACAATATGTATGGATCAGGACAGTAGAAACTTGTCAATTCAAGAGGCAGAGGAATTTAGCATTTTATTTTTCATGGCCTTTTTTAATGCAAATATATACCTAGGAATGTCAAACTAAGCAGAAAGTTAGACTAAAAAGAATAGAAAGCATATGTGGGTTGATTAAAATGTAAAAATATGATGGCCTATTTCTTAGAAAAGAGGAGAAATAATGTTGCTTTGATCATCTAATTGTTTTAAAAATAATCATTTGAGGTTATATCCCAAATCACAAGGTGCTACACATATTACGCAACATTTTGCCACCCCCTTGACTCCATGCAGACTCTATCCTCAAAGCAAACCCAAATAACTCTTGTTTTCCTCTCTAGTTGCTCTCAGCCTGGTGATAGGGAGTGGAAAACAGAGATATGTGGAGGTTGTGTAGGATTCTGGGGTGTTTTGGGCGTGGAGAGTGTGGGCATTTCATGTTTTCATGCATTGGGGGGGGGGGCTTTATCAAGGGGTTTATGGGATTGGTGAGTTTGAAGGGCTACATGCAGCCTACAATCTCTGTCATATACTCCATCTCTGCCATATCAGTTGCAATCCTACAGACCATTTGCATATCATAAGGAACAATAGAAAAAGAACTAAGAATTCTCAGATGTTTTCTTATTTTATCATATGGCTTGGATCAAACACACAAATCTTCACAATTCCTTATTCATACGCCAGTTGTGATTCCTCTCTGTTTACAAGGACAACATGTGAATGCAGTCTACAAGGGCAGCCCTACCTACTATTTATTACAGTCGTATCAACATGAAACCTAAACAGTGGATGATAGATTGCTATATTCTCATATGAAAGTAGGAGACCCAATGAGGTTACTTGAAATCTGTCAGTGCCATTAACATTTGATGTATCAAGAAAGAAAGAAAACCCTATCTTGGTACATTTCAGGAACAGATACATCCTGTACCTTGTACTTCAGTGTAGTTTGGTTAATCCCAGTAGGTGAATGCCGTCTACAAGGGTAGCCCCACCTATTATTTAATACATTGCTGTATGCCATTGTGTTCTTTGACTCACAGGTGTGACCGTATTAAATATTAAGGATTCCTAGATTAGACATGTCAGTGCAAATTTTAAAACTTGTTTTATCTTTATGGTAATGTAATCAAACCAGTGAAGGGGAATCATAATACATCAGTCTTGGGGAGGGCGGGATAATAATGTCAAAATGTCGTAACAGTCATAAAAGACACACTAGCAAAGAAGACAATACAGTATAGCTAAATACCAGACATAGCTATTTCCTTTAAAATCTTCTACATTTGTGCAACTTCTCTGGGAAATATGAATCAGTGAATGGGAAAGAGTTGATGCAAATCTCATAAATCTCAAAGGCTTCTGTAACTTAAATAACTCTCTTCCTTAGCTTCCCTATGCCATTCTTAAAACTGAATGTGTGTATTTTCCAGAACAGTATTTCCACTTTCCGTTTTGGGACAGAATATTTGTGTAGAGATGTTGAGGGGATTCTGCAAACTGAATTTTTTTAAAATATTTTCCAATGGTACCTGTCCTGTCCATTTTGTTGTTCTGTGATGTCACCTATACAACTATGCCTTTGTTACTGTATATCCCCTTCACTTGTTTCTAATCTGAATTATAAGTTTTGTTTTGCTCTGGTTTTTTAAGAGGAAATAAGGGGGATCCAAAAGATGCAATATGCCAAACATCCCCCCTCCCTTTACTGGAAGACCCTGGCTTTTAGCTCAGTACGATTACAAATAAACCTCTTCATTTCTTCTTTCTTGAAATCTCTTCTTACTTTACCCCCTTGC